AACCTGCCCCCACCATGTGTAGATTTGGAGAGGCTGGTGCAACTCTTCCCCCCCCCCCCAACGTTTCTCTGCCTAGGTGGATCTGGATAATATATAGATATTAACGTTTGTTTTAGTGTTTGATTTCCCTTGTTTTGAATTCAAGTATATCTTCAATCACTAAAGTAGTCTCCAATCGCCTTACATTATGAGTACGTATTACTCATCACCACTTTTTCCACACCCAAAAGTTTCGCCATTGTTCAATAAACCAATACATCTTGAAGAGATAACATCATTTTCAATCATTTGCCATCAAATTTCCAAATTTTGGAGAAATTCCAACTAATTTTGCGTGTTAAACTGAATTAAATAATATCTAATTTAGAAACCGTCATAAAAAATAAATGATAATAATCCAACTGTGTAGTGCAAGAGAGAAAATGTAAAGAAGAGACTAAATTGCTCTACATTTCATAGAAACATTTGGTACAAGTACAAAATAATTTTCTGCTTTATAATGTTATAAAATATGTATAAATATATACAAATATAATAGTACTGTCTGTTGTATGTCCACGTAACTACTCCACAGAGTGTGGATGGATCTTCGCCAAAATTGGTGTGGAGGTTCATTAGGTCCATGCGGGAGTACATGTAAACTTGCTGTTACACATTTTGTTTTGCAGTTTTTTTTGTTTTGTTTTTACAATTACATACAAGGGAAACAACTTTTCATGTCGTAAGATAACCTTTCATTAATCATGAATTTACATAACTTGCTTCCGGGTACTCCAGCTAGTATTAAATATATACTGTTTTGAATGGCAGTTCCATCTATGTAATGGCCTAGACAGAGGGTTATATATATGTGAGACTTTGGCTCGTATACAAATAAGCTCAGTTTAGTCATAGGTTGGTGCTACTGTACAACTATAGGCCGAGAGTCCTCGGTTTTACACACAGTCAGTACAGATTTCTAAACACGTTCTGATACGTTACAATAGTGTTATTTGCTTTTTTATTTTTAAGAACTTGTTGCGAAAATCGAAACCTGTCAAGAATTTTCAAAACCTACTTTTCCATAACTGGTGTTGATACTATTGGGGCATTTTCAGATCAAACTGATTCCCCGACAAGTTTTATGATAGAAATACCTGGGAATAACAGCAGGTTTGGCCCAGTGAATTTCCCGAGTGAGAGCATTCGATTGAGTTTTGGAGTTGATGTGGAAATAGATAGTCTTGACATTTCATGTAAGATGAACAAAATCTTTATTCGCCAGAACAGCAACAATAACAACAAAAAAAAAAAAACGGAAAATTGAGTTCCTACCCACATGTGACGATGGATAGTCTTCACTCCACATGGCCAGGTGGTTAGGGCGCTCGACTCGTAATCTGAGGGTTGCGGGTTTGAATCCCCGTCCCAACAAACATGCTCGCCCTTTCAGCCGTGGGGGCGTTATAATTTGACGGTCAATCCCACTATTCCCACTATTAAAGGCGGCTAGCGCAGATAGCCCTCGTGTAGCTTTGTGCGAAATTCAAAACAAACAAACAATCACTCCACATTTTGCGACGGTTAGTCTTGAAGTTTTCCTTCCTGTGAGATGGATTAACTCAACACTTAAATGCTGAACGAGCTTTGAAAGGCCTTATTTCTGCAAAACTAATAGTTTAGTCGCTGTATCGGATTGTTGGACCTGGGAGGGTGAGGTACACTTTCGACGTCTTCCTCTCAACAAAACTGATACGAAGAAGGATCCTGGATTTCAAACATCAGTTGCTTTCTTTATCCAGCAGACAGCGTTACCTCGTGACCTCTGTTCCCCAACAGCATCGGTCAGTTGTGAGACTTAGCTGTCGTCATACTGCGCTCAGCAAAGGATAATGTAGTTTTAAATAGTTTTAACCCAGGCTCGAAATACACTGAAGTATCCTTGCAGATAGAAGACGTCTTCTAGCAAAAGAACAAAGGTCGGAGGCGGCCAGAACAAGATAATATTAGACGCCATGACAGTTCAGAAACTAGATAATCAATGATTCAAGAAACGTTATATCACTAAAGACTGTAGAGGACATGGTTTGCCTGCATATCACAGTATTTGGATATTTTATTTCTAAATTTTCGTGCAGGTATTCTGCGTGCGATAAGTGGCATCTTTGTAACACGGATGTAGGAAAGTCATAAACTTTCTTTACTTTCTTGGAAAAAAGGTTACATACTACAATGATTTTTCTATAGAGATTATGCTTTCTTGACCCTGTCTCTGTATCGCCCTCCGGGAGGGACAGCATACTCCTTTGGAGACTTGTACAACTTAGTTTAAGTTGAAGGTTTTCTCAATTATTATTATATATAATGGGAATTATAGCTGAAGAGTGTAATCTAAGGACTATGGAATATTGCAATACAGCTTTGATATGACCTAATTCCTCTGCTTATCTTGTGCAAACGTAATAAATCATTTTTCTCTTCCCCTGCAACCAGTTGTAAATCAGCAGTGAGTATAGAAGTCAGCTAGTTAAATAAAGGACCACACTGATTGTGAATAAAGATTTTATTTTTCACTTGAGCTTGATTTTTTTCCCAATGCTGTAAATATTAATTGTATTCTCTGCTTAAAATGTTTGCAGCATACTGAATATAGATGGTTGAGTATGTTACATTCATTAAAACTATTTTTAATAAATCAGCACTTGCTTGACAACCACAGTCACATAAAGTCGCAGTGGAATGGCATGTATTGGAATAACATTTTGAGGTTGTTTGGCATTTTATTGCTAGTGTGATGCCACCAAAAATTAACCGTTTAGGGAAGGGTATGTAATAGCCCTCTCTGACGCAAAATATTCATACACTCGGGTAACAAAGATGTATTCAAATTGGGGATTTAGAATTTTAAGGAAGGATATACCTTGTACTTAATGACATTAATAAACAAAGGAATATGGATCAATTTGAGGCACCAGGATCATACAGAAAGAGATCTGCAACAAGTAATCTCTTCTCTCCCCCCCACCTCAGATATGGTAAGCAAAGTGTGGTGTCTTGTAACAGGTGAGGATTCACTAACACGAATGTCAGTAGAGGCAAAAGCCGTTAACATATCTCGGTCAACAGTGTTACACAGTCAAGAAGGATCTTTATCTGGAGAAACAACACTGGTTGTTTCCACAAAATATGCATTCAGTCATTACATACCTCAAACAGTTGGAAAATTAGAACAGATATTCAATGTATTTCATACGAAGATATATCGGTCAAGTTGCAGCATCTATGAATTTCTGTGAAATAAAACAGTTAAAAAGATTGGTGTAAAAAAATTTTACTCGTAAACTAAATGTTTTATGGAAAGCCTGCAGAAAGGAGGTGTGTGCTTCAGACATGGCAGTATTATGACTGAGCTATTATGAAGTGCTATTATCAAGATGCACTATCGGATAGAGCATGACATGGTGAGACTCCAAAATCATTATAATATAACATACTTAATCTATGTGCCAGATAATTGATAGTTTTGGTTTTGTTTTTTAATATCAGTATACCTCAATACCACAAAATATTCTAATAATATTGTTTGTTTAGTTTTTAGGTTCAGGTCACTTCATTTATATATTTATAGTGTGTATCTTGATCAACAACTATTTCACTTGCAAAACTTTTATAAGTCGGGTACGTATGAGATTTTGATACTAAATAACATTTTTGATTACCTGTTAATTTTTTATGATATTAGATATACTCTGAAATTGTTTTATAACTTGAAAACCCAAATTTTTATATTCTATATTATGAGAACTGAACATCCTATGGGCAGCTCACCAAGTTCATCATAGTTCTGAGTATTACAATCTGAGCACAGCTTTACGTCAGTCTGTGTTACAAAGTTATTCAACTTGGGTGAGTAGTAAAATGTTTTTATGTACAGCCAACTGAAATACTTACTTTCTTCTTTTTAATGAAATTTTACAACATATCCATGTTTATTAAACAAAGGATTGATAAGAGAAAAGCTAATGGAACAATCGTAATATAATGCATATTAATACACCATATAATGATATGGCATTATTTGAGAATTTTTTTTTTTATTATTAAAATAAATACTGACTTTCGGATCTTTCAAAATTGATTTTTTGTAAAGACAGTCATGGCTACATTCCAGTCTAGTGGAGACTAATGGAATATAAAATAAGCTGATTAGGTATTTTGACCAACTAAGCTGTTGACCGTGAATGCCCTACTGCCTATTTCTATTTTATTACTAGATTTTAGGATTTTTTTAAGGTATAATAAATTAATAGACTTTTAAAGATCGAAATGTTTATGTGCTCTCAACTTTCATCTTGGTAAACTTGTATGATAACTTCTCTTTTTCTTTTACATTAAACCACAACTTCAAGATATTGTATATTTATTTGACACAAAAAACTTCTTATATTTTGGAATTAGAATTTTCTTCCTTAACAGTTCCTTATGTGCAAATGTGCTAAATGGCAGGTAGAAGCTCCTATTGTTTAGGTATACCTTCCCCTAATTTTAACTACTGACTGCAGAGAAAGCAATCAGCCAGATAAACTGCTGCCACAAGTGCTTTTTTCCAGTTCTTTGAACCCCCTCCCCAAAAATTGACTGTCACTTTTATAATGCACCCACAGCTGAGTGAGAGATGCATCTTCAGTGACATCTCATATCAAATCACCCAACCCTTCAATCCGCAGTGTGACATACCTGGCTTTCTGAGTTATGATGTCTGTCAAAAGGTGCTTTAATGGTCCCACCAAATGTATTTTGAGGGGAATGGTAGAAGCCCCCCTCTTAATGTAGCTATAACGTTTGTGTATGGTACTCAATTAGGTTAATATGTTTTAATCAGTAAAGATCACCAAGTTATTTTCATGCTTGCCAAATTACAGTTACTACAGATAAAAACCCTAATAACCTGAGCACTTTTGAAAGAGCTCGGGTTATAGGGTTTTTATTCATTTCGATCAAGACTTCTTGAACCTACATATTTTTCTAATATCATGAAGTAACTACTTATAAATATTCTTCAGGTTATAAGTTCAAAAAGATTGTAAATTAGCAGGAATAAATTAATATTGCAGTTAATAAGAACATTGCTTATGCTTCTTAAAAGTAACAAATAATTAGTTTAACAGAATATTCTATGTTGTAAACAACTGGACATAATTAATGGAAAACAGACACTTTCTAACGTAATGCAAGCATAATTCATGCCTATATGCACAAATGTACATGTATGTAAAATGTATACTGTACTGTTTTTTGACATCTTTCCAGATGTTTTATTTACCGCTAGCTTTGGGTATTCCTCCATCTATCTTTTTGGTTCATCAGCAGTTTAATCTTCTCTACCAGTTCTGGATTCATACACAGGTAAGAAAAATTATCATGTGTTTACATCACTCATTTGACAGTAGGCTTCTGTAAGAGAGAGCAGAGTCCTCTAGAAGTAAATAGTTTCTCTCCCCTAGGAAAATATTTATAAAGTTACAAAACCTTAAATGCATTTACGAACTGATATACCTGTTCATTACATGGGGAATACATTGGGGATCCCCTTGATATATAGAATAAGCCCTCTACATCTCTTCCTAGCAGGCCCTAAGGGTAGGTTTGGTGATAAATTTTCATATATACATGCATTATTTTACCACACACCAGTTTGTTAGGAAATCATATTATTGTGTGCATTAATGTATAAAAGTGACTCTAAGATTATAGTAAGTATGACAATTTCCTGATTACATTTTATTAAAATGTATGATTTCAGGAAAGAATGGAAAAGACATTACTTTTATAATTTTTGTATTTAAGGCAAAGCTACTAAGTCTACTTGCTACCATTTCTAATCTTGAACTATTGATTAGAGGGAAGACAGCCAATCATCAGCATCCTATCATCCACCCTAAATGATTTATTGTTACTCTTATAAAGCACCCATAGTTTAAAGTGTATTTTGTAGTATTGCACAGCTTCAAGTCTGGCTCGCCAGCTTCCAAATCAAAAGCTTTAACACAGAGCCAGCCCACACCCAGATTTATTAATTTTTATGTTAAGCACAAAGCTGCAGAATGGGCTATCATTAATGTGCTCACCATAGTACTGAAACCCAATTTTTAGTACCATAGCCCTCAGATTTACTACCGAGCCACTGGGAGGCTGTTAATTATCTATTTTTAGTGCTCACTTTAAATATAGTTTTCTATGATTAAAATTCATAAATATAAATAGTAATCATCATTATTATTATTATTATTATGTAATAATTTATTTCAAAATAAAGAATATTAAAAAGCAAAACAGGATGCAGTTTCTTTTTTTTCTTTCTTTTTTTTTGGTATTTACAACTAATTTTTTTTTTTAAGTTGGTGTTAAATAAATTAGATTATAAAAAGCAAACTGTAATTGTTAAATATTTTCTAGGTTATAAAGACATTGGGACCACTAGAGTACATCATCAACACACCTAGTCATCATCGAGTACATCATGGTAACTGATTAGAACCTAAATTTAACAACCTTATAGTTAACATTGAAATGCATACTATCACTACTACTAGAACGTATGAAGAGAAACATTTTGAAAATTAGATAACTGAACATAATTAGTAGTCTCTCTTTATTATTACATCTAAAAGTATAAAAATAGTTATTTCTGTGCAATGCTATAATTTTTTAGTAAACATAATATACATTTTGATGTGTTTAAATTTATCAGACCATGTGTGTGTGTGTGTGTGTGTGTGTGTATATATATATTTTCTAACTTCTTAATATTGTTTCAAGAAGTATTTACAAATTAAGTTCTTCCTGTACTGTATTACTGTAGATTCTGCACTATATTTACATGAAACACGTTTCCAATTGTTTTCCTCTAGAACAACAGCTGAGTTAAGGTACTGAAAACAAGAGTAATATAATCTACAAGAAAAAACTAAATTGGCATATTCCATACGTTATCTTATTGTGATGTAATGGTACACAAAATCTGAATCTATAGATTACTGTAATATTCCACAAAACACTAACTTATAGATTCTTTGTTTGTTTGTTGTTAAGCCCAAAACTACACAATAAGCTATCTGTTTTCTGCTCAACATGGGTATCAAACCCTAATTTTAGTGTTATGAGCCTTGAGACTTAAAGCTGAGTCACCAGTGGGGGCAACCTATAGACATTAATTGCAATGTTACACAAAACAATTACCTATTGATTACACTTTGCTAGCACAAGGTGTTGTGTGTGTGTGTGTGTGTGTGTCTATATATATATACACAGCCAATGTGACAAGCTCTGGTATTGAGCAAAATGCCTCATTAGCACCAGTGTCAAGCACACAAAATGTAGGGGGTTGAGATGTGATGTACGTTCTTTTTATTGGAAACCCAAATAGGACCAGCAAAGAAGAATTTATTAAATATTATCAGTCTTTTTGTAATTTAATGTCATGCAAAACACTGATTTATAGATTATGCTTCACCAGTAGGTATGATATACCATGATAATTGAAATGTTATGCTTAGCACAATGAGTTTTCCTGCCTCGTGTCATTGCTATAACTTTATCTTGTATATTTACAATTATTAAATTAAAAGAAATATGAAATTTATAGGCAATACTTTTTTCTGTGAAAAATTGCATACATTTTCAGATCACGTACAAACATTTACACATAAATGTAAGTATTTCCACAACTTTTTACTTATTTATGTAAAGTTTTACTTCTCCATTTTCGCATGGATTGTCTTAGTTGCTTACAAAACATCAGACTTACTTTATATTGCTGATTCTGCCATTGAACTACATGTGTACAGTACATGAAGGTAAAAAAAGTGTTGGGACCTCGATCTGTATAGCTGATTCAACATAAAATACTGCATGTTTTTTTTGTGTGTATAAACAGGTCGCAACAGGTACTGTATTGATAAGAATTATGCTGGAACACTGATCATCTGGGACAGGCTGTTCGGTACATTTGAACAAGAAAGTGAAGAAGTTGTCTATGGTGTTACCCATCCCTTAACGACATTTGATCCTACCTATGTGCAGGTAATTGTTATAATATTTCCCTACATACATACAAGCTTTTATACCAGTATGTGTCAACATGTGTGTTATGCATTTATATCACACAAATATAAATGTATATAAAAAAAAAACAAAAAAACTAAATGATTAAATATATGCATTGTCTTCAGTTGGATACACGTACAGTCAGTAACATCTTGCAAGATTTTATCTGTTTGTCAAATAACATGTGTATATAGTGCTCTGATGACCACGTTTTTTACAATATTGATTTTCTATTTAAGAATGTATGTTGATTATATTTAAGATCAACTCTAGCTGATCCCTTTTTTTAAAAAAAACAAAAACTTTCAGCATAATTACATTACTAGAATCAGCTCTATACTTCTGAAGTTGTAGTAATTACGTTACATGGAATGGTGATAAACATGACAGATTTATTTCTGTAGTAGACATGCTGACTCTGCAGCCCATGATACTTTCTGCTGTTTTTATTTAAAAGAGTAATGGTAACTCCATCAATAAAGTGTTTAATGAAAACCTTTTGATCATACTCTTTTAATACACCTTAATAATAATACTGTTTATACTGTACTGAGAAATTTTATGAAGGATGTTTACAATTGTTTAAAAACTTTTTAGAAATGGATATCTGTATTTAATACATGTATCCTTTCCTCCAGTACAAATTTTTAACATTAGAATTAATTTTCATGTTAATTTTAAGTATTGGTGATGTACTAAGTTCCATTAAAAAATACTTGGCTATATGAAGATTATATATTTCACTTATGACCTGGCATTTCAATGTAGTTGTTTGAAGAAAAACTTTTAGATTGTTGATGAAATATGTTTTTGTTCAGAAACAGTTATGGATATACATAAGTAAAGAACAACAAAACAATTTTGATAAACTAAATTAAAAAATGCTTGTCACATTCCTCAGGTGTCTGTTTTGGAGGTTTTTAGTCCTGAAACAAATGATTACTAAAACTCTTAATTATATAGAAAAACCATGATCAAAAAGTCAACAGAAGTGCTTGTAGTAAGTATATATTAAAATATTCCTTAAAAAATCCTTATGATGTATGATATGATGCTAATTGGACTCAGCTTTCAATATGTTGTCAGTGGTATTCCAAAGCATATTAGCACAAAGATTTCTGTCACTTAAAATTACATTTAAAGTCATGTTTCTTTAAGAAATAATGCAATATGAAAACAAACTACATTAGATTTTGATAACTTAACATAAAGCTATTACTCCTATGGGCTGTTATACTAAGCCTCTCCTGCTTTCCTTTCTCTATTGTCTTAAGATGCTTGTCATGCTGATTTTAGCCCTTATTCTTGAGGAATTGCTTGAATTTTCAGAATGCCCTTTACTAAAGAATACACCATATTAGGTTCTTCTTGATTTTAGATTATCTCAACAGCTATTTGATCATGTTAAAATTTAAGTGGATGTTAAATACATTCCTTTGTGTAATGGTATTTGTGCAGTGGGATGGTGTGGGAGGCAGAACCCACCATTGGAGAGCTCTTTCTCCCCAGCAACCTCCCATCTGAGATATAGTTTTCCAAGATTTTTTAAAATTCCCCAAATTGTGATTCCCACTGACAGGAAAGTATTCATTTTTTCCTACCCCCCACTTTGTCCACCAGCTAAACTAAAATCCTAGTAATATCACTATATTTAGGGATACTGGTGATTGGAATAGGAATATTTTATGAACTTCGATAAATACTTAACCGTTCAAGAATGAGATGAGTATGCAATAAATTAGTATGATAAAATTAAAGAATAGGCTTTAGTGTCTTAATTCAACAGCATCTCAAAATTCCTTTTCATTCACACACAAATTTACAAATAAAATATTTTTTGTTGATAATACGTGCTTCATTATAGTGAATCAAGTTGTTAATCTGCTCTGACAAAGGCTTGAACCCAATATTTTCAGCTTGGTCTAGTTTCTCAGTTGAGATCAATATTGTACCAACTGAACTATCATAATTTAAGTCTCACTCAGACTATTAGAATGTCAAGTAATAGAATAATGTATTTCAATGAAAATATTATACATTAGTTCATTATTTTTCAGAACACTTGAATACAAATGTGGGGCTAGCTCAAAACACAAGAGATGTAACTTATTCCTTTACATTTTATAGAATTATTATAGATAACTGACACACATACTCCTCAAAACAATGCATAAATTAAAAAAAACTACATTATATTATGATAGTTATGCTAATATTTTATTTGTGAAAATGTTGAACATTTGCCAGAAAAGTGTTAATTTTCATTCATAAACATTTTCAGTGATATTACAAAATATTTTGCACTTTCTCATAAGTTTAAAAATTAGACTGTCTTTATATAGCATTTACTGTTTGACAGTTGTGCCACTACATCCACATCTTCAAGACTTTCTTAGAAGTGAAAGGACTTCAAAACAAACTATCAGTATTATTTAAAGGCCCTGGCTGGGCTCCAGGTAAACCTCGACTTGGATCTATAGAAGATATTCCAGATGTAAGATTTTTTTTTAACTTGTCATCTTGAAAATTTGAATAGTAACCTCAAATTAAGAAATCTTGGGATAATTGTTATAACCCTAAATGTATTTTTCCTCATAAACTTTAGTAAGTTCTCAAAAACACTTTGTACAATTTAAAGACTGTATACCATGGAATCTTAGTGCCCATCATTCTACTGTAAGCAAGTTACGTTTGTAGAAATTCCTAGTTGTATGATATTTGCTGTACATAAAATTTTACAAAGATGTTAAAATATAAGCTTGTTGCACACATTGTTTGGAAACATCACTATTATTAATAATATTATTGTTATCGTATGTATACAGTCCTCCTACCAGACCTATACATTTCCTTGTAATTCCAATATTTTGACCTAAAATGACTCATTTTGCATATAAATCCCTGTAATTGATAAATTCTCCTATATTCTCACCAGTGAATACTACATTTAAGGTACTTACTCGTATGCCAATGCTTCTTATGACGCTAAACTTCTCTGCCTCGTTCTATGAGCAATTAAATTATCCTTCAGTACAAAATGTAAATTTTTCTTAAGACTTTTTATTTTTGTTAGAAATTAAGCAGAGTTAGGCTTACATTCCAGAGGTAAAGGCATGAAATTTGGTACTGGCAGAACACAAAGAAAGTATATATTGGCTTTTCATAGGATGATGATTCAGTTGAAACCCAAATGAAATACGAATGCAGTTACTTTAAACTAAGGTAAATTCTCCAAGTAAAGAAAACTTGTTAGAGGTGTGCCCAAGAGATTTTTCAACATCAATTCAGTTTCGATTACGAAATTGCTTAAATTCACAGTTTTGATTTGGAAATGTTTTGATCTAGAACTTGACTTTATAATATAAAATGACTTTGAATATCAGTTAAAGATCTCGTTTACAAATATGAAAAGGTTTCAAATTCAAATTACATTTTTTTTAACACTGGTAAAAAGTTGACTAAACTAACTAAAATAAATCTACACAACGTCACAAAATAATGTTTTAAATAATGACATAAATTGTATTGGATATCCTGTCATACATCTTAACTGTTTCTTACATATTTTATATTCCATAAAATAAGTACAAATTTGTGTGCTCCATTAGTTTATTGCCAGGTAATGAATCATAAGAGTTATAGTACATATTTTTATGTTATTTGCTTGTATACTTGTAATAAGGTACAGAAACAAATTGTAGAAAGAGTACTTAAATGAGTAAGAATAGGTTATGTCTTTTAAAATACACTTAAGTATCTCAACTTAAACTAATTAGTTGTTCCTTAAGGCTAAAGGCATTTTTTCCAATTGGAACTAATTTATATATTGTCATTGTAAATGTAAGTTGGATACGTCATACACATGCCTCTATAAAATTTAAACATTCTGCCAATGCTCCCCAGTGGCTCAGCAGTAAGTCTGAGGACTTAAAATGCTAAAAATCTGGTTTTGATACCTGATGTATGCACAGCACAGATAGTCCATTTTGTATCTTTGTGCTTAACAACAAACAACCAAAATCCTGCAAGCACTTTTCTATTGTGTCCTCATTAGTAGAAATAAAGATTAAGATATCCAAACATTACAAGAACTTCTGTATACAGGTAAGTTTGTTCATTTTGTTGTCTTTTCTAGATAATGCTTTACCTAAATTTTAGACATTTACCCTATATTATCCATATTTTAATCTAGATTCTCCTATACTTATCTTTGTCTCTTCGTATAAAATAGTGTTGGAGGCCTGCATATATATTTGACAATTATCATTTTTTAACACTTTGATAAATAAAAAAACAACAATACATTTTTGTTTAACATGGTTGGCAATAATCTACCTGATGTTCTTTCCTGTTAATAAATTTATTCAGTTTATTGTAATGATTATGCTGTTTAGAATGTTTGGTATAGAATTTGGTTTCACTGTTAATATGAAAATGCATAATGGTGTGCTGTATCTATTTCTAAAAGTTAAACTATTACTTTTTGCAAGCAATAATCCACTTTATAGTTTTGTTCATTATTGATATCATATAAGGAATGAATATACAAACTGAATAACATAATTAAAGAGCTTTCAGTGAAAAAAAAATCTTCTCTTATGAAATAGGTACATGCACCACAAGAAAAGTACAGTCCACGACTTCCATTATGGTGTATGCTGTATGTCCTAGTGCATTTCACCCTGGTGACTGTAGCCTTTGTTGATTTGGCTAATAGGCATACTGTATGTATTATTAATGTATTTTTGTATTTATATATCTATATATGTATGTTGGAGCACTGTTAGTTTTATTTCTGCAATGCAATGTACTTGTTGAAAACATCATCAGACAAGTGTAATATTGTATGTATAAAGACTTTTTGTTATATTTTCATATTAAATGTTAATCCATATCCCATGTCTATTCAGTATATAGGAGCCAAAGCTTAACTCCTGTTTCAGTGGCACAAGTGAATGAGAATTGTGACTCATTCCCTCTGGATGGATCCAGTCCATCACAGATTAACTGCTGGTACCCATTATACAGCTGGGCAGATTGAAACAATTGGAGTAAAATATCTTGTTTAAGGACACATCAACATGTTGTGAGCAAGCCTTGAACTCTCAACCTTCCAACTATACATCCAAAGCAATGACCACTGGGCCAACTTTCCTTATACATTCACATAGAAAATCTATATTGTTTTTACGAGAAGTCTTTCTTGTTGAAATGGCCCAGCAGACCAAGTGGTTAGGGTGCTTGACTCCCAATCTGAGGGTCGTGGGTTTGAATACCAACCTCACCAAACATGCTCACTCTTTCAGCTATGAGGGCATTATAATGTGATGGTCAATGCCACTGTTCATTGGTAAAAGGGTAGCCCAAGAGTTGGTGGTGAATGGTGATGACTAGCTGCATTCCCTCTAGTCTTTTACTGCTAAACTAGAGACAGCTAGTGCAGATAGCCCTTGTGTAGCTTTGAGTGAAATTGAAACAGCAGTTTGGGATATTGCCATTTTTCACCTTCGTGCAGCAGTTAAATGTTTGGTTACATGATGAAATATATAGTTTAGGTTATAGAATACATTTAATATTTTAAATATATATATAATGTGTGTGTGTGTGTTGACAACTGTTAAGATCTCCATTTTTATTACTTTTTTAATATTTATATTT